GTCGGTGTTGGACATATCCCAGAGGAGAAAATCTTAAGCCGCGGCCGAAGGCCGGCTACTTACAAAAATTACAATTTTTAGAAAAACTATGGATCGCGTAGCCGGTGTTGGACATACCCCAGAGGAGAAAATCTTAAGCCCCGGCCGAAGGCCGGCTACTTTCGAAAACTACAGTTTTTAGGAAACTATTGATCGCGTAGCCGGTGTTGGACATACCCTAGAGGAGAAAATCTTAAGCCCCGGCCGAAGGCCGGCTACTTTCGAAAACTACAATTTTTAGAAAACTATTGATCGCGTAGCCGGTGTTGGACATACCCCAGAGGAGAAAATCTTAAGCCCCGGCCGAAGGCCGGCTACTTTCAAAAATTACAATTTTTAGAAAAACTATGGATCGCGTAGCCGGTGTTGGACATACCCCAGAGGAGAAAATCTTAAGCCCCGGCCGAAGGCCGGCTACTTACAAAAATTACAATTTTTAGAAAAGCTATGGATCGCGTAGCCGGTGTTGGACATACCCTAGAGGAGAAAATCTTAAGCCACGGCCAAAGGCCGGTTGCTTAAAAAAGCTATAAAGGTCAAAGTCAAATGCATCTAGACTGGAGAAAAATATAATTTAATGAATTCTATCTCTTATATCTTCGGAACCACAAAAGATATCAACACATATGACACCATTTTGGAAAGGCAATAGTGTTAGCTATAATATAGTGTATAGATTTTAAGACCCTATAATGGGTCCATTTTCGAGTTTTTATGGGTTTTTCAAAAAGTACTCATACAAAAATGCAAATTTTTCTAAATTTCTCCGAAACCGGTTCCAGCAACCCCGTCATATGACCACTTGTTGGATAGGTATTTTCATAAGCTTTCAAATGATACCCATTTTATTGATATCGGTTACGTAGAACCGGATACAAACCGGATGTTGTATTCGAACTTTTGGGTCGAATAACCGGGTAACCGGGTATTTCCCCCACAAAAAAATTACATTGCCGTAATCAGGTTACAAATACCTACCTGCGGTAAAAATTTCAAAATGATCCGAGCATAGCCCCTAAACTCAACTTGCTCCCAACTAATTTTTACTAATATCTAGTTGAAGAGGAGTTTTTATTGATTTTTAATATCTGTATTTATATAATATTATTTCTTCAAATTTCAATTATTGTAATAACAAATGGTTCTTTATTGATCTGATATAGAATATATAATATATAAAATATATATGATATATTCTTAATACGTAACGCTAAAGAGGGAAATTGAAACAAATATTGGCCTTTATTATTATTTGAGCCTGGACAAGACTGAAATGCGAAATTAACCTTTATAGTAAAGCTTTATTAAGTTTTATAGTTATAACATACAATTAATCTTGCCAAAAGGATTCTCGATTCGCAACTTGTTTGATTTTTAACAACAGATACATTATGGAAAAAGAGCAGGCTTGTTATGTGGGCTATTGAATGGTTTGCTTTATCACAAACACAATGTAATGTCCTGTAGAAACATCCCGGTATCATTTTCAATATTAAACATCCTAGACACCATACAATATTGTGCCAAATTTCAATTCTCTACATCAAATTTCATATCAATATCGTAATTACAACAGATAGACGGGTGGACATCATTAAATCAAATTAGATCATGATTGTATATACTTTAGGGGGTCTACGGAAAATATTTATAGGTGTTACAAACGGAATGGGCTTACATTGCCATGGAGGAGATTTAAAAAACATTTTTTTAAATTTTCTGCATCTACACTTGCGTTTTATGGCATCGTGTGATACAGTGAAATTTTAAGAAATGATATTATACAAATAAAGGTATTAATAAATAATAAAATTTCCTCTTTAACAATATATTAGTAATAATTAGTTGATTTAATTTTAAACCTACTAAAAATGCAAATGATTTGTTATGTTCCGTCCTATAAATCTAAAAGATTAATTTGATTTGCAAAAAGATTCATTCCGGTTGCTAAAGATTTCATTTCCGTTGCAAAAGTTTTCATTTCCACTGCAGAATTGTCCATTTCAATTACTGCAAAAGGTTTTATTTAATTTGAAAATGCTATATTCCGTATTCACACTAGATCTTGTCTTTATGTAACTGTTGTGATGTGCAGAGTTTTTTACATTTTATAAGAGATATGATTGTTCAAATTTTTGAGCCTTTGTGGGGGAGGTACTTGATGGACTTGACATATTGTCCATTTTCGCGTCTGACTTAGCAGCGATACAAATATTAGGATTTGCAAAGTTTTAACAAAATTGAATGATAATTTCTTGTTCTATGAGGTACATTTTTTTCTATGAAAAATGTTGACCTTTTGTGCGGTGGAACCAAAAGAACTGGACCTATTTTGCCCATCTCCGAACTCGATCTAAGTTTGAACATAATGTTACGATGCATCAAGTTTGGATCAAATCGGATACTCCCTTCGGACGGACACGCCTATATCGACTCCAAATGTCCTGAAAGGGTCTAAAATCGTATCAAATAATGCGGTGGAACCAAAAGAACTGGACCTATTTTGCCCATCTCCGAACTCGATCTAAGTTTGAACATAATGTTACGATGCATCAAGTTTGGATCAAATCGGATACTCCCTTCGGACGGACACGCCTATATCGACTCCAAATGTCCTGAAAGGGTCTAAAATCGTATCAAATAATATATACTCTCTGTAGCCACATGGCTGCGGGAGGGTATAAAAAATCAAATATCCAAATTCCTAAAACTTTTTGTTTTAATTTTCTATACTTCAATTCAACCAACCAATAGATGCACTAAAAATGTCTGTAGTTGATGACATATGTGTCAGGGTAAACAACTATCTCGCGGAGCTTGCCGCCTTCTTCCATGCGAGGAATATGAAAATATCCGCCACTTGCCAGAATGCCGCTCTGAGAACTGCAACAGGGTGCCTCCTCATGACTCCTGTGGACCACTTACATGAGGAGACGAAGGTTCTTCCCTTACGTCAGCATAATCATATGCTTTCGTTGCAGTACCTGCTTGGGTTTTATCGTGGGAGTCACCCTAACCACCATATGGTGGATAGAACTCCCCTCGGCGTGTCAGGAAGGACCTGCATGATCTAGAGCAGGGCTAGGCAGAGAGCCTCAAAAATTTTTTGTGATTGTATGTGTTTTGAAATAACAAAATATTGCAAGTGTTTTTTTGCCTCTCTTTACAGAGTGAGAAATAATTTGTTATTTTTTTAAATTTCCAATTTAAAATTTTCTGTTTTCAATAGTAAATAAAATTCTAAATAGTCGTAATTTAATGCTGATCAAAAACTCATATCCTGCGTTCGGTCCTAAAATATTATTTTTATGAATTACAAACAGAATGACAAACATCAGATCCTGTTCTATCCCAATTTGCATAGGAATTCACAGATTAGAAATAAAAATTCATTTCATATTGTTAGACAGATTTATTGTCCTTCCAAATTAATGGATATTTTCATATCCCTTGATTTCTCTGAAATGATATGTACGTTCTTAGTCAATATTGGGAAAAATAAAAGAATATGACGTTTGTCATTCTGTTTGTAAATCTTAGAAATATTATTTTAGGACCCATCACGGGATATAAGTGTTTGATCAGAGTAAAATTCTACGACTATTTGCATGTCTGTTTGTCAGCCTGTGGTAATCGGTATTACATTTTAAAGGATCAATTTAGATGGTCAAGATGTTAAGACCGAAATTATTAAGCACAAATGACATCACAATTATTTAAAATTTCTGAAAATATCAACTTATATATTTTTTGGGGGTATTTATATCATATTTTTTTAATTGAATCATAATTGAAATAATTGTGTGAATATAGCTCCCAATTTCCACCAACGAATTCCGATTACAAATTTACGTTAAAATCAAAGCAAACTTAAACAATAAAATATAAAGTTGGGGTTGTTTTGAAAAGAGAAATTGATAAGTGAAAACTTACATTAACAAATTATTTCTCACTGTGTAAAGAGAGCCAAAAAAAAAACACTTGCAATATTTTGTTATTTCAAAACACATACAATGACAAAAAAAATCTGTGGCTCTCTGTCTACCCCTGATTTAGAGAGAGAGGTCCAGCGATATAAGAGAGAGCCCCTAGATGATGAAGCCTATCAAACGGATCTGAATAGCATTCATACTGATGCAGTCGCAGAGGTAGTTAATAATTACAGTATGAATGCCATCCTCGGAGTCAACCCCCACCCATTGCAGCTGAAGAACGTCGGCTGCCTAGGCAAACCAAGGTAGTTTTGGCCCAACTACGTTCAGGATGGTGCAGCCGTCTCAATTCGTATTGGGCACGAATTGACGAAGATGTGCGGAACGCCTGTCCAGCGTGCGATACAGGTCCGCACAATACGCTGCACCTGTTTAATTGTCCAGCCAAACCTACCCAACTCCATCCATAGGATCTCTGGCTACAGCCCATAAAGGTAGCAGAATTCCTAAACCTGGACATTGAGGAAGAGCCGGATTAGTCAGAATATAAACAACGGAGCATGTTAAAACTGCTACAACAACAACAACTAAAAATGCTTCTACGTTCCTCTGTTAATTTCATTGATTTTAGAAGTACTCGTATTTGTTTTTCCGCAATGTTTGCAAGTTGCAATGTTTGCAAGTTGCAATGTCCCATCTTCCTGGGAAATACTTTTATTCTTTCTCGATCCACTCAAAGTGCGTATTAGATTTGGATTCCATATGGATAATGGTTTATTGTACGGGTGTCCCTCTCTTTCGTACAACTCGCCGCCAAAGAGATATTTTTATATTTTATTTTATTCATGTTTAATGACGTCACATGTATGTAGAATTTATATATTTATTTTTTTTTATTACAATGTAAAATACACAAATTCTTATTCTAGATATTATATTGTAGGCTTGTTCATAGACGTTCTTTCTGAACTGATATCCTACTAAGGATTTTATCTTTAACTAAATGTGTATACTTATAATTTATTGCAGCACCTCCTACAAAAAAGGTCCGGCTACTTGGTAAACCATTTAGTAAAAATTGGGAATTCGGAAAGGATGACATAGATGAATTAATTTTCATGTTGCAAGACGCGCCGGAAGGAACGATGTGCCGTCCATCTCGTATAAGAGCGATGTTTGCTTCTCGGGCTTGTCGTAAATCTGTAATGATAGGCACGTCCTTAAAGAAATCCACTATGGAGATGTTAGTACGGCATATGGGAGAAATTGAACAACCATGGGTATGTATTGAAATGTTTCGTACAATACGACATTTAAGAATGGTGCAACCTTCTGCGTCAATAACTCAAAGCAAACAATTTTGAACGGGTGCTTAAGAATCAGGAATCTATGGATTAACTACAATTTTTTACACATATATACACATTAGCCCGATGACACGCGAGTACAATTACATAAATTATAAAACTTTGGAGTGAAATCCTCTCGACACAATCTGAGCTACTTCAGATGGATTGCGGCCTCTGGTTTCCGGGAGGTAGAACATTGTGAGTAGAAACATTATGAAGCACGTAATCGAAAATGGCAAAAATGAGAAGGGACCCCACATATTTTGCAACGTTGGAAAGGCCATGCCCACAGTGAAATTACAGCACCACGAAGATAAACTTCCCAGGGACATTGCAACCGGTCTGGGGGCAACTTGAAACAATTCTGTAAATAAAAATACATTTGCATCAAATTACACCACATACCATAGAATCATACCAGAGCCAATAAAAAATGGTATCGGGCCAACCCCAAATTGGAAGGAAAATATGTAAAAGTATATACAAGCTATACATCCAGCTGCGAACCAGCTAACATCATCCTACAAACGATTTGCATAATTAGTTTCACTTGTCCGGTCTATTAGTTTGGGACATTTTTACAATAAAATGCAACATTAAAGCAAAACTTAGGAGGAATATACTGCACAACATGCTTGAAACCAACATGAGGGGTCGGCGATTCACTCTGGCCATTAGAAATGGCCCTAGAAGTGAGACAGCTAGATTTAATGACCCCGCCCCCAAGTTTGCCCATTCTGCTTCTTGATCGGATAAACCAGCTTTACGAAAAATCGACACAGAGTAATAAAAAATCTGAAAAATAGAACAGAATGGTTTTATGTTTGCTGAATACCATGTTTCCGTTCGTACTGCATTAATCCCCGATAGTTGTTGGCCACCTTGGTAAATACACACAATTATAAGCGGTAAAAGAAGCTTTCTATCTTTCAGGACATCCAAATAGCCCCTAGCATCTTCATCCTCCCCACTGTCCATTTCGCTGATGAAATCGTTCGGCTTAAAGTTGCCCCCTCTTAAGCGTGCGAGTTGCACTTGGGCCTCTTCTCGGTCACCTTTTATCGCGTAAAGCCATTTCGGACTCTCCGGATAGAGAAAATATTTTAAGGGAGCTATTTCACTTAAATACATCGGCAATGACGAAGTTGTCAATCCAGACGCCAACCCAACTAAGAAACGGCCCAATACCAGCATTTCGATAGAGTTTAGTATGCGGCACAAGAAAAAACAGATTCCGCCAGTACAAAACAGCAATCCACAAAACATGACACAGCGTTTCCTGCAATAACGACGCTCGTAGCTGCGGAAAAGCGTTAAAATATAATGCTCTTGTCAATTTACCTTCCAAATTTATTGGCAACAATCGCACCTGCATACGACCCCACTGCTCCCCCAACTAAAAATATGGAAATTATAGCAGACCACAAGAGATCTAGACTCGCTGCAGATAAATGTGTGTTGTTACGCCACGCCAAGATGTCCTTGCACCATGCTCGCATAAACTATAGTAGAATTGAATAAATATTTTAATTTGCCCATATTCACCAACATAAAGCCTACCACTCCTGGGCTGTTCATTACACCGATACAATATCCGGCTGGAACTGCAGTTCCGAGCGTTGAACAATAACCGGCAAAAATCAGCAATGCTGTCCATTGTCCCTGGTAATGAAATTGGAATAGTTTGAGGAAATGCAACGGATACAAATATAAGAATAATTTATTGGTTGGATTTACAGCCGAACTTGTCATTACCATAACGTAATGGTCAAAAGATAATTTTGAGTCAGAGCTGTACACAAATATCCAATCAAAAATAACAGGAAGATTGTAATGGTCGACTGGGTAAATGTTCGCATAGAAATATTAAGAGTATAGTATACTTATGTGGATGATTCGAACTTTTTGTGTGTCTGGCAATGATATCGCAGGATGCTCGAACGTTTCTCCGGCATATGTTGTCTTTTTTAGAGTCTGTAGTTCGTTTTGTTCCCCCATTTAAAATAAAAACTATTGTGAACCAGTCGGTCGTGCAGGAACTCTTAAAACATTTAGAAAAAAGAAAAATAACGTTGGTGATTGCATCAATTTATATGTGTATATATACATATATATATTTTTTTATTTTATTTGAGAAAAAAAAGAAAGCCACTTTACATTTGGGTAATTATCAAAAAACTATAGTTGTCGTATAAAATGCTCAAGTTTGCAGAATACACAGTTTGTTTTTTTTTTTTTTTGTTACAGAAGCTTTCATTATCAATAATTCGTTTTCCTAATTACAGAATTGCCCCCACGGACGGCCGACGATGCGACATCTTATAAATTATGCCTTATTAAAAGACAACGAAGTGGTACACACCGACACTACGGGAAGCTATTGCAATTAGCGTTCCTGCGATAGCAGCGTAGATAAGGAGCACAATAAAAATTAATTGGAATATTTACAAAAGATAAGTTTTATTGTGTAGCGTGATAGGCCATATTTTAGACGCTTATGGTACGGAATATATTGAAACCACTATGGGCTGTAGACAAAATCACGCCGGGAATTTGGGGATGCCAATGTAGTTCTTTGATCTCTTTTTGACCTTGATGAATGAACAACAGTTGTGGTGGCAATTTATTAAGGTCATCGTCGGCATCTGTGGATTCCTGATCCGTATCCTTCTCAACTGCCAAGTCCCATAAAGCTATTTGATCATCATCTCCCCCTGAGGCCAGCACGGTGGCGTCCCTGGGATTCCATTCTACCGTTGTTATGTGATCTGTGTGGTGTTTAAATGTTGCAATAGGCTGTTTACTTTGGAACTGTCTCAAATCCCATATGTGAAGAAAGCCATCATCACCTCCACTTGCTATAAAGGGTTCGCTGCGATTCCATGATATAACATTAATGTCACTTTGATGAGCATTGTCACACGTTAGCATGCATGCTTTCTGCGGAGCGGCTCTGACATCCCATATGCGTATCGATTTATCAACAGAGCATGATGCTAAAACACTTCGTTCATTTGGACTCCACTGTAAATCCTCAACTGACGCTGTATGTCCAACTAATGGGCGTTGATCCACTTTCCATGTAGAGTCATCAACAAGTGACCAAATATGAATGTCTCGCCTAAAACAGAAAAAAGTGGTGTTGTAATATATAATATATTTAAAAGGTTTTTGGTAATACTATGCCGAGACTCTGGCTTTTATTTTACACCATTATCGTACGTAATTCGAATAACCTCCGAGACAATTCGATACATAGTACATGTAATCTGAGAATTCCAATTGATTTTTTTAAATACATCTCATCTTTTGACGGCCACACGTACGTATTGGACGTACTGGCTCTATTGGCAGATCTTCGGATCTTCGGGAGCGGGTTAATGCGGCTTGTCATGTCAATCATATGCTAGTTAAAATATGTCTCTCCTACTACAATAAGGATGTAGTCATTAGGAGTAGACATATTTCAATGGCTTTGTCCTTCAAAATTAAATGCTGGGTATTTAGGTATTTAAACATTAATTCATACTTAAACAACAACTGCAGTTTCGGGAACAGAGCAATAGTCTGTAACTAAACTAAATTATAAATGAATTTAAAATTAACAACAAATTCGATTACAAATATAAAAGAGGAGAAGACATGACAAAATTATACCTCGCACCTATTCGCAGGAGCAAAAAGTATTACAAATAAAGTTTTTTTTATTTATTCGACCTTTTTTGTTTCTAATATTGAATACGTCTTTCATGTCTACACCCCGGGCTTGAAAAACTTATTCAGTATTATAAGAAAAATAAAAAACAAACATACAGATAAATGATTTAAAACAATTCTATGAATGTTAAACCCTCATTCAACAAGAGCTTTGCTTTTTATTTGCAAACATATTTAAGCATATTAAATGCAGTTAAAGGTAATTCATATAACGACAAAAATCAGCGCAACGGGTTTGCCTCGCAAAAAATGTCGTTTATTTCAGATGAAATTTGGAAGTTAATTTGTTTTATTAAGGACAAGCCATATTCAAATTGACGATTATTTTTTTTATCTTTTGCCCTGGCTGAAGAAGAAAGTATATCAATTTGGAATGAGTATTCATTTGAGAATAAGGAGGGCAATGTATTCTATTTCTCACTATATATGTGTAAGATGAACTGTTTGTGTGTAGTAAATGATTGAAATTTCGGGTAAATAGTGAAGGGTATCATACAGTCAGCCGCGACCGAAAATGTTCCTTCTCGTTTTTCTAATTTTATTTCCTACTAAGTTATGTACGCCATCTTTTTAAAAAACACAATGTTTCTTCCAAGATTCTTGTATAAAATGCTTGTATAAATGCAATTATCCATGTGCATGGAATTTAATGTAACTTAATTTAATAATAAATGTTGGGTGGGGATTACGAAACGATGAATCATTCCACAATAACAATTGCTGCGCGCATTTTCTATAATTTTAATTTTAGGTACTAATACGCAAAATAGTTACAGAATATATTCGTATAAAATAAAAACATATTTAATCCTTTGCATGATTTTTTCTATTTTGATGAACTTAAGTTGGGTAATGTGGTTCATGATTCAAATTAAAGAAAAATAGTAAAAAATGGTATGTTTATATTTAAGGGACAAAATTCGCAATAAACTGTACGATTTTGTACAATTCTTTCGGATGGTATTTTCAAAATTAAGAGTTAACTTCTGCAAATCGACCCTAAACAATAACATAAACGGACATTACTAATCTTTCATCCACATGTTTTAACTTTTTGAGCAAGATAAACGAAAAAAATATTAAAAGAACAAAATTAAAGACAAATTCATAAATTTATTGAAACTCTAAGAAATATCGTATTGTGAACATCAAGATACTTCTACCGTCGGTTCCACTTGCCCACTTTTGATAGTTATATTTTTTAATGCAAGTCATACTAAGAAGTCATCCTGGCGAACTTGTTATTTCATATACATTTTTGCCAAATGAAGCTATTAAATGTGTATATCGATTTGCTAGAACCAAATATAATACGTTTTTTGTATCTGAACAAATAAAGTTGAAAAGAAATACTATCCCATAATCAGGCTAGAAAACCCTACATGTGGCCGATCTGAACATCGCCCCTTAATTCAACATGAGCATGACAAGGACTACCTTTGGCAGCAAATTCCAACCCTTTCCGAATGTGACCCCTTACAGTACACATTCTTCTCTCCTCCTCCAACCGCAGTTATAATTGCCCAAAACAAATCAGGAGAAAAGAAACATATGGTGGTGTACTTACTTGCAATCGCCTGTAGCAAGAACACCTTCAGCACATGGACTCCAATCAATTCCAAAACCTTCTTGTTGGTGACCACTGAATTGGAAGACAGGTTTTACTGGATTATTGGCGACCTCTCGTTCATAGATTCGAAGTAAGTTATTATCCTCAACTGCTTGCATTTGCTTTGATAAATTCCAAATGTTCACATGGCCTAGTTCGCTCCACGAGGCAGCAAAAACAGAATTTCCCAGTCGCCTCGACCGTACTCGGTTTACACAGCCTTGGTGTTTGATCAGAGCGCAACTCATTTGTGGTTTCTTTATTTCATTACTATCTTGAATATCGTCCTGATCATCTTCCAATTCACCATCATCTTCGTATTCTCCACTCTCATCGCCATCTTGTGTCTTGTGCAAGTTATGCATTTTCATAACTATTAAATTATTCACATGAGTACGTGCAGCCTGTGTTCCCGCGACCATATAGGCTGTTAGGGGATAGTCCTGGCGATCTGTTCCAAGTTCATCGGCAATGACATCAAAACTCAAACATGGAGCACCAGTAGAAGCCTGATGCAGCATAACATAGGCAGATTCATCGCAAACTAGTTCTTCGTCCTCATTTAAGGGTTTGCCTGGAAGATAGACTTCTTTTTGTATTTTCATACCGCTATCATCTTCGTCGTCATTGTCATCAATATCACTCTCGGCATCCTCTGGTTCAACAACCTCCATTTCCAAATCTTCGTTATCCATGGTGCTAGTATTCAAAAGATCTTCCAAACGACCAATCAAGTCCAAAATATCAACTTCCAACACACGTGTATGGATCTGGAGAGACCTACTTATAGGGATATGTAGGCCGATAAACATATTTGTAGATTTTCCAAGTTTAGACAGAGAAGTTTTTATTGTTCATATAAGTGGCTTTCCAGAACCTGCAATATGGTACTACACCTGTAGTACGATTCTCTAACTCATTTTTTGAGACAAAAATCGGGAACTTTGAAACCCAAAATTTTGATATAAAAAATAAGTTAAGGTTGAAAACACTGGTATCTATCGGTAGGTCTTAGCGACTAATTTGATTTCGTCGCTAACTTACCGATAAATTTCGTTAATTACCAAGATTAGAAGCATTTTAATTTTACCGACTTTTGTCGGTAACTCAAAAAATGAGTTAGAGAATTCCACTACTGGTACAATGAAATAAAGGTATCATATGATTTTTTTATTTTCTTTGCTTAATACGTCAACTTCATTTGTTTATGTGTGTGTTTTCTTTTCAATGATAAAAACAAATTGTTCTGAAAATTTTCAAATTCGAGTGTTTTCGAAATGCTTATTGCAATGTATGCATCGACAAAACCTAAAGGGCTAAGTACATGACATGGTAGAAGAATACAGGTAGTTGTTGCAGGCCGTTCACATTCGGCGCAAAAAGGCAACAAATATATGGGGCCGGGTTTTTTGGCAAAACCTGTCCACAACCACCGCAGAAATTATCCCAATTCTGTTGGTAGTGCATCCCATAATTGGTCCTCAAATGGATTTGCTCAGTTTTCTTGGGTTTTTAGTGAGGATGGTGAGGATGCTTCGAGATTTCAATTTGCTTGTAATTTCTGCGGGGTGTGTAGTCTGGGTGGCGATGGGATCAAAATGCCGGAAATGGTTTGATAGGGTTCGCTACGTACGAAATTAGGCTCGAACAGGGTTGAGTTAAAGAGTATTATAAAGGTAGTGAATGACAGGGTGACTCAGGCTAAGAAGTGACTAGGCAGCCCTATGATTGCTGAGTAGGTGGGAACCTACTACTACTCCGGGGTGAGCTGAAATGAGAATTCACAATAGAATAAAAAATGGCTATTGACAGTTGAAAAGAAAAAGGAATGAAAATTGAAAATGGCTCAGGAAAATGGTGTTTCGTGGAAAATGAGCGTCTGGCGGGATTCACTGAGAAGAGGGGTATAAAAGGCTGCGAGCATAAGAAAAGCCAAAGAAGAATAAGACGTTACCGGTGAAACTTAGCAAGAGAGCAGTGCAGAAGTGGAAAAATTTAATTTGTGTGTTGCGATTTTTTTTATTGTGAATATTCCGGTGGTGTATCAAGCTTTTTTGGAAGCACCGAAAATTGTCCGGTTTTGGTCAGCACAACGGCGGGAAATTGCCTTTTCTTTTTGGTAACGCAAGGTAGTGGCAAGTTGTCCACAGGAAAAAAAAAGCCAAAAAAAGTTACATTGAGGGTGTGGAGATTTGAATTGTAAACTGGCCAGCTGCAACTTTGAGCTTTTTGCTGTGCCTGTTATTGATCCCGCCCAGAACGCCGGCATTGTAAAAGGACCAGTCAACAAGTCCAGCTTCATTTGAGGGTTTGTCTGGCGTTCAAAATCTGTTTCCTCCGGAAAGAAGCGTAAACTGGAAGAAGAGATAAGAAGAATTAATCAATAACGTTATACATCACTGCTCAGGTAAAAGGTGTCTTACCGTTGTGTTGTCCTTGATATATTTATATATATGTGACGTCCATAAAATTTGCTGTCTCCTTTTTTGGAACTAAAAGAAAAGAAAAAAAAAGAGTTAATAATCATAAATTTCGAGAAAAAAAAAATATAATATTCAGTATAAAGATTTAGTAATAAGATAGGTTATAGTTCTTAGGATTTAAGTAATAATCAGTTTGTAAGGGAAAAATACCGCGTTTATTTTCAAAGGCTAGGAGGTGTTACAGTAAAATTATCTTGAGTCCTTGTGATTCGATCTGATAGTTTAGGCCGTGGAATTTTAGCGGCAATTAGGCCGGTTAAGAGAGCTCTTTTAGGTGGCTAGTAATTTCGTATAGACGCGTGAATATTGCGCGGGAAAAGCAAGGCAAAGGATAATATATTGGTTTCTACCGAGTAATTAAAGCCATAGATTTAAGAAAGCCCGGTATTATTCTTAATTTGTTTTTTTTTATACCATACAGTTTGTCAATTTTAGTGTAAGAAAAAAAATAGTAGAGAAAAAAATTAAGAAAATATTTAAAGCTAACTTATTTTTTTTAATAAAATTAAAAATGATTCTTTTGTAAACAGTAGATACTAATATGTGTTGCTAAATTTGTATAACTTGGGGGGAAGGTGGTATGAAGTAAGTGTGTGATTCGAAGCGTGTGGCTCAAGGGGATTCAGAGAAACGCAAGAAATGGAAATACTGGATCCAGGTAGGGTGGGCGAGTGTGGGATCGATCCACCGAGATCCCTGTATGATGACTCCTATTTTGTATATCGTAGAGTAGAGCAATTGTAGTAAAGTCCCCTTTCAATGTTAGTGTGTTGGATTCGATTGGCGGGTTGAGATCCCTAGCCCTGGGAGTCTCTGTGACAGTCGGATGGCCTAATCGTATGCCGAGCATATGCACACATAACAGAGATGGCGCCCAAGATTCTAAAATAAAGCTTTATTGTACCTGATACCACTGTCAAAAATGGCGACTCAAACATGGCCGTGTTAAACTGTGATATTAGGTTAGTAACTCTGTGCAGTAACATCGACGCACACAGCCATAGAATGCTAGTAGATTTTAAATAGACAAAAGAAAATGTTTTTGACAAATAATATTCTGTGATATTAGTATGCATCCGAACTTTAGAGAGATGGGTTACGAAGTGCGATATTACTATATCAAATATATTATGGGAACGTTTTCTCCACTGTTCTAAGTAGGGTGTAATCAATAGCTTGTAATTCCGAGCTGGAATAAAACAATTTGTATTGAGAATCCTACTGTTAAAATTTGATTTTGTGAAATAACCCAAATAAATTATAGACAGGAATAAGTACATCGAGTAGCAGCAATAGCGATTTTGATCTGAGAGATGCAAAAATCTTAGTATTGCATATAAAAACCCTGAGCTTTCATTTATGAAATGTAATAGATATGTCAGGGGTCCGAAGTTAACAAAGCACTATAATTTATTAGAAGAATAAGAATGTCTAAGGGAAGAGTCATACACCTCATAAAGGGCACTAAAATTATTAAAAAAAAATAATAATAATAATAAAAAAATAAATAAATAAAAAAAAACCACACACACACTGCTTCTGAAAATTACACTTCCCCCGTAGATCTATGTTGTAATTGTCAAATTTGAAAATTTGTATGTGTAATTGTAATCGAATGTATTTATAAAAAGTATTTGTTTTGCCGATGTTTCATATTTGAAAAAAAGGTTAACTGAATTTAAAACTTACTTACAAGAAAAGGTTTCTTCCGAGATTCAATTGATAACAAATGAGAAGATAAATTTTGGGTATAGGTCATGATCTACAATACCCGCAATAGTAAAAGAAATAAGAGAGGCAGACCCGAAAATTTTGACCTAAACCGATCGACTTATTTTCCAGAGCAGAGCAAGCAAAGACGAATAGGGTCGGACGAAATGGCGAATGAGGATAGGAATATGAGTGCTTTGCAATTTATCGATCTAGCAGACACGATAATGCGAAGAGATCAGAACACCAATCATGTGCCAACAGTGAGTGATAATTTGAATAATAATGGTCCAACTACTTCCGACTTACATGGACTAGTACAAGATGAAGCAGCGTCTGTCCAGAAGTCATTGGAAGATAAAGTTAAAAAAATGGTCGAAACAGAAATATCTGATGTGAAGAAAATGATAGATTCTTTATCAAAAGGCATGAGAGAACTATCCGACACTGTGCGTAAACAATTAATTGTACCCCCAACGGCTACGGTAGCCTCTAATTCTATTACAAATAGTAATGCTAATCCGACGTCAAACAATAATAATGACGCAGTAAATAGGAATATGCCACCAATTATCCAATTTCCGAGTGCTAGTCAAACTCCATTATCAGATCAATTTACTGGCCCGATAACGAATACGTTTAGAGTGGAACCACTAGGAATACGAGTTGATAAACTTGGTTTAAATTTCAGTGGTGACCCGAAAGGCTTAAGAGTTATGGATTTTATTAAGCGGTTAGAGATCATGCAGGCTCAATATAATATTCCATGGTCTGAAGTGTTGAGGGATTTCGCCTTTCTGGTTTCTGGTCAAGCCAGAGAATGGTATTGGCTGCATAGACAAAGTAATGTTTACACCGATTGGGTGGGTCTTAAAGAAGCGCTGATAAGCCAGTATCAAACCCCACAATCCAAATTCGACATACTCAGGGATTTGTTAGAAAGGAAACAAAGGCCAAATGAAAGCATCAATAGTTATTTTCACGAGATGGGAATTTTGCGATCTAGATTACTTCAACCTATTTACGAGTACGAAATGATTAAGATCCTAAGGGGAAATATACGTGAAGATATAAAACGACATGTATATCAGATGACCATTTCGTCGGTTGAACAGCTACGAATAGAATGTATTGAAGCCGAGAGAAATTTCCCTAGGCGCGAAAATAGAGCTGTAACGTTCCCCCAGCGACCTATCCGCCAAGTAAATGAAATATATGATGAAATTTATGAAAAGCCTGTAGAAGTACCGGAGGAGAATATTGGTGAAGAGCTGTCAGCTATCCGGATACAAAGCCAAATTAGAGTCCCAATGATCTGCTGGAACTGTCGAGAAAAGGGGCATGTTTTTATGGACTGTCCAGTAGAAGTCCGGAAATTGTTCTGCTATAGGTGTGGGAAGCCGGACACAGTAACCCCAAAGTGTCCTGTCTGTCAACAGGGAAACTCCCGAAGGGGTGTGGAAGTAACAGGGGAAACACACCCGTCAGAGAACCCTGTGAATCGGAAGAATTAGCACCCAAAAACGTCCGAATTTTAATAAAAAACAACGATAATATATTTAGAGATAAGAGTAGTGTAGAATCGAAAAATTTTTCTG